CAGCCACACCACATCACACCTCCGTCACCATCACCCTCCTCAGCACCACACTCACCACAACACCGTCACCATCACCTCCTTCACATCACCAGCGTCACCATCACCTCTCAGCACACTCACCACAGCCGTCACCATCACCTCCTCAGCACCACATCACCAACAGCCGTCCATCACCTCCTCAGCACCACACTCACCACAAGCCGTCACCATCACCTCCTTAGCACCACACTCACCACAGCCGTCACCATCACCTCCTCAGATCAACACATCACCTCCTCAGCACCACATCACCAAAGCCGTCACCATCACCTCCTTAGCACCACACACACAGCCGTCACCATAACCTCCTTAGCACCACACTCACCACAGCCGTCACCATCACCTCCTCAGCACCACACTCACCACAGCCGTCACCATCACCTCCTCAGCACCACACTCACAAGCCATCACCATCACCCTCTCAGCCACACAGCCGTCACCATCACCTCCTCGCCACAACACACATCACCTCCTCAGCACCATATCACCAAAGCCGTCACCATCACCTCCTCAGCACCACATCACACACACACCGTCACCATTACCTCCTCAGCACATCACCACAGCCGTCACCATAAACCTCCTCAGCACACATCACCTCATCACCACAGCCGTCACAGCACCACATCACCATCACCATCTCCTCAGCACCACATCACCACAGCCGTCACCATCACCACCATCACCATCCTCCTCAGCACCACATCACCACAGCCGTCACCATCACCTCCTCAGCACCACATCACCACAGCCGTCACCATCACCTCCTCAGCACCGCACACACTCACCACAGCCGTCACCATCACCTCCTCAGCACCACATCACCACAGCCGTCACCATCACCTCCTCAGCACCACATCACCAAAGCCGTCACCATCTCCTCCTCAGCGCCACACTAACCACAGCCCTCACCTCATCAGCACCACACACCACAGCCGTCAGCAGAGCGTCACCATCACTCCTCAGCACCACATCACCACAGCCGTCACATCACCTCCTCAGCAACTCATACTCACCACAGCCGTCACCATCACCTCCTACCATCATCACAAAGCCGTCACCATCTCCTCCTCAGCACCACACTCACCACAGCCGTCACCATCACCTCCTCAGCACATCACCACAGCCGTCACCATCACCTCAGCACCACATCACCAAAGCCGTCACCATCACCTCTCAGCACCACATCAGCACTCAGCACCACAACACCACAGCCGTCACCATCACCTCCTCACACTCAGCATCACAATCACCACAGCGTCACCATCACCTCTCAGCACTCACCACAGCCGTCACCATCACCTCCTCATCACCACAGCCGTCACCATCCCCTCCTCAGCACCACATCACCACAGCCGTCACCATCTCCTCCTCAGCACCGCACACCACCCAGCCGTCACCATCACTCCTCAAGCACCCACCACAGCCGTCACCATCACCTCCTCAGCACCACATCACAGCCGTCACCATCACCTCCTCAGCACCACATCACCACAGCCGTCACCATCACCTCCTCAGCACCACACTCACCACAGCCGTCACCATCACCTCCTCAGCACCACACTCACCACAGCCGTCACATCACCTCCTCAGCACCATCAAGTCACCATCACTCATCACCACAGCCGTCACCATCACTCCTCAGCACCACTCACCACAGCCGTCACCATCTCCTCAGCACATCACCACAGCCGCCTCAGCACCACACTCACCCGTCACCATCACCACCTCAGCACCACACTCACCACAGCCGTCACCATCACCTCAGCACCACATCACCACAGCCGTCACCATCACCTCAGCACCACATCACCACAGCCGTCACCATCACCTCCTCAGCACCACAGCCGTCACCATCACCTCCTTAGCACCACTCACCACAGCCGTCACCATCACCTCAGCACCACATCACCACAGCCGTCACCATCCGCGCAGGGTCTGCGTCGTGTTCCGTCTGACACTAACAGGTCGCGGGACAACGTTGGGACTATTAATTGGATGAAGTGTGCAGTAGGGCGGACACAGAGCGGCCGTTGGGCGTCGTTTGCGTTTAGTTGCGATAAAACTTAAAGCAAACCTTTTGCCGAGTTTGACTTGGTGTTTACAAAACGGCGTTTGCTCCTGAGCTCTGCCTGCGCGGCTTCGTGTGTGTGAGGTGTTTGCAATCATATCGACTTGTTTATTGTTTGTTCTTTTTCTAAATTTAAACAGACTTGTATCTTTCTAATATATGCAACTTGGAAATGCTAAACCCTCTGAAGAGAAAACAAAAAACATGTGATATATCGTCAGTACGGACATTAGCTGATCGTTAGCCTGATTTGCAATGTTAATATTTCGCTCCGTCCCCCGAGGCGGCGTGCTGTTGCCTCGCACAGCAGGGCACCGCAGCCTCCTCCAGCACAGCACGATGTTGGGCTCATGCTGAGGGAGTCGAAGTCAGGCGCTGATTAGGGGGCAG